TTATCATCTTTCATCTTCTAGATTATAGTAGCTGCCTCCTTGCTGGCTTTCTTGGCACCCTTTGTGCTCCCTTTTCTGTCCCCTTGTCACTCCAGACAAATGTAGCTGGTAAGAACCCCTTCCTTGCTTGTCACTCTAATCACCTGACCGTACTCTTCAAATCTTTCCCCTGACTTCTCCTTCCTTCAGCATCACATTCTAGGTCCTGCATACCTCTGCTACACTCAACTTATCCACTCCTTGTTGTATACCTTCTGCTCTGCCAGTGATGCTGCTGTCAGTGATGCCCCATTTGTCACACAACACTCTTTGTCCATTGTTTTGTAGCATGCCCTTTTGGGGCATACGTATGGCCCCTTTGCCACATGGTCAGAGGGGTACTACTGAGGTATGGCATTTGGGCTATAATGTCTAAGGTGTCGATCCTGCGGTCAGTATTTGAACAAGTCTCCCATTAACCGTGATGGAAGTTTCCCTAAAGTGAAGGTTGCTGAACTTAGCCCTAAAATTCTACAACTATACTAATCTGTGGTTTCATTTGTATGCTACCATTTTGCGCATGACCATTTTGTAAAGCGTACCAGGCAAATACAATACTGCTGGCTTTCCCTTTTGAATGGTGAAATTTGGCTTGATTCTGAACCTATTCCCACTGGCATAACTGCAATAAACTTCAACTGAGTTACTCCTGATTTATATGGTGTAACTGAGGATAGAACTGAGCTCACAGAATGCATTTTGGTCCTCCATTAGGCACTTACATTTGACTTTAATTAAATTTCATATGAACAGCATATATTTGCTGAATTCGATAAATTCTTCAGCAGTCATGTCTGTTGACTTCAAACTGATGTTAGCAGATTTTTCAATTATAACATTTTTTCTGTCTTGTGTCCATACTTTCCTTTACCACCCAGGTGCAAGGTCTGTTTTTATTTTAAGCTAACGACTGCCACCTTGTGGATGAAGAGTTCATACTAGTGATGCAATATAATCCACACTGCATTTCTAAAATCAGAGAAAAAGGTTGCTCAGACTGAACTTATTAAAAGAATGTACTTGCAGATAAGTGAGAGTTAGCTTCATTGACGAGAACATTTACACTGGCACAAAACAAACAATTAAGGGGTGACGCAGAGTTTGTAAGTACCTTCATGGGGAACAAATATCTAATATTGGCCTCTTCAGCATAGCAAATTATTAACAAAATCTAATGGCTGGACATTGAAACCAGTCAGTTTCAGACTGAATAGATTAGTTTTGAAAGGATTTCTCTCTACTCCTCCCATAGAGGAGATTTGATATTCAGTCCCTTCCAGGGAAACAGAATGCCATGGCCTATGTCTGAAACCAATATTAGAACAAAAGAGTTTTCTCTGGGCTCAGCCTTCAGACCCCTCTCCTTACTGGCAGGCCTCCCATGGCACCAGCCTGTTTCACTGTCTAAGCACAAGCTCTGGGCTCCGAGTCACAGCTACCTTCCTACAAGTCCTCTGGCAGGCAATAACCCTCAGCTAGTTCCTAGCTTCAATCCAGCTTCTTGCCCCACATCAGCACCGCCTGTCTGTGCAAGCCTGCAACCACTGAAGTTTCTTCCTTTAAAGTCCTACATCCTGCAGAGGGGTAGCAGTGAAGCCAATGGCATACAATTGACTGGCCCTTAAAGAGGCAGACCACCTGCTACACTATATTTTAAATGACAAATCCCAACTGACAAGCTCCAGTGTATGAGAATGTTTATAAGAGAGGATTCTCAAAAACAGGCTCCGTTGCATCTCTGCCAGAGAACTCAAGGGGCTCTCAGGTGAGGAAATATAACCATGGAAAGCTGTGCAATCAGTTCTGAGCTTCAGCAGCAGTTGCAAAAGCAGTAGGTGAAGAGATGCCTATATTGCTACTCTCTGTGTCCTTTTAAAATAGATTGGTGGCTTCTGCCCCTCTCCACAACTTGTGCTGGGTTTTAGGACCACTGGATCTTCAGTCTTAGATCCTATGGATCCTCATATTGCTCACCCTCAAAAGCTCTCTCCTTGGATTTCCTGGCAAAGAAACTCTCCTGGTAACGCAGGTATTGGTGTGGATTATCATACAGACATCCAGATTCGCTGACATATTGAAATCCAAGCTGCTCTGTCCATTTGCTTCATTCAAATAGAAGACAGACTTCTCTTTTAGCTACCTGAAATTGGCCAGATATGTGACAGCTGGTGGTTCTACCATACACAATTGAAAACTTTTTTAAAGAGCAAATCCATAGATTTGAGGCCCACTTATGTTGAGGCATGATATTGAGTCCAGTAAAGCACCTCATGACTAAGGGTTTCAAGCCAGCACTTAACAAGATTAACGAGTTATATTCTGTGCCACAGAAAGGCAGATGGTTCAAATGAAATAAATTTTAATTGCAGTTCAGTTCCACCAGCAAGTTTCTTCAACTCACGCTGGTGTCACCTCGTTAAAAGCAATAAAACATGCTGTCCAGTCCTTCAGGCCAAACCACTCACTCCTCCATATAGTCTGACATCCACTTTTTGGGATCCTAGGAAATACAACTATCACCATTCTTGACAAAGATGATTTGATATCAAGCAGGCATTGAAACTAATTCTCACCCGAAGTGCCATTCACTCATGTCTAGCATAAGCATGAGTCTTTCTTTGCTTATGATAGACATGGCTCATTTCAGCCTGCCACTGCACAAAAACGAACACAGCATGCCCGTGCCACCAGAGCTGTGACAGAACCCCCGTGCTGCCATCTGAAAAAACTGCCGATGGCTCATCACATTTGTGTTTTTCAACTGGCCTCAGGGAAATGCAAAAGACATTCAGAGAGTGTTGTGTACCACGTATGCGCACACTTGTTTCATAAGAATGAATTAATGTGAGGGACTGGAATGCTTGAGAATAAGGCTCTGCAGTTCAAGGGCAGCAGCAGGAAGCTGTGATGTAAAAATATAAGAATGAAAGAAAAGCCGTACCGGCTTACACCAAAGATCCGTCTAGCCAGAGAGCTCAAGGGGCAATGGCAGGTACCCCAGAGGGAATGAACAAAATGGGTGATCCATCCCCTGTCATCCATTCCCAGGTTCTGACAAACAGAGGTGAGGGACACCATCCCTATCCATTCAGACTAATTGCCATTGATGGACCTATCCTTCATGAATTGATCTAGCTCTTTTTTTAACCCCATTATAGTCTTGGCCTTCACAACATACTCAGGCAAGGAATTCCACAGGTTGATTGTGTGTTGTGTGAAGTACTTCCTTTTGTTTGTTTTAAACCTGATGCCTATTAATTTCATTTGGTGACTCCCTAGATTCTTGTGTTATGGAAATGAGTAAATCACTCTTCTTTATTCACTTTTTCCACACTAATCATGGGTTTATAGACCTCTATCATGCCCTCTTCTTTGTCGTCTTTTTACAAGCTGAAAAGTCCCAATCTTTTTAATGTCTCCTCATTATGGCAGATGTCCCAGACCTCTAATCATTTTAGTTGCCCTTTTCTGAACTTTTTCCAATGCCAACATATCTTTTTTGAGATGAGGCATCCACATCTGAATGCAATGTTCAAGATGAGGGCGTACCATATTTTTATATAGAGGCATTAAGATATTCTCTGCCTTCTTTTATATCCCTTTCTTAATGATTCCTAATGTTCTGATGCATAGTGGAAGACAGGTCTTTGTAGCAAAATTGAATTTCAGATGAGGAAGCATGTTTTTTCTTCCTGGAATTGGAGTGTGATGATAGACTCTGCTTCCAATTCCTATAATTATATTTATTCTGAATGACAACTTGGAACAGTAAACTGACTTATGCTGTGGCTGTGAGAAATTGACAAGAGGTGAAGAAATGAGCAGATAAGCGATGCTTCCTGCATTTTTCTTGATTCTGGAAATATCACAATTAGATATTCTTGCTGAAATTCTTCAAGGTGATTTGTTTGTTTGCTTTGATATCCAGCAGTGAAGTGTGGTACATTAACTCCCAGATTGTTGCATCACTAGGGTAATCATTTGAATCTAGAAACTTACTGGGAGCCTAAATTACATTTTCAAATGGACTTTAGGCACTTAGGAGCCCAAGTCTCATTGAATGTCAATGGAATTGTGAAGGGGTGGACTAAGCCCTGATGCCCCCCTATAGGAGGCTGGAAGTTTTGCCACACCCTATTTATACTAGTGAAAGGAGCAGAAGAGAGGTCCTCCAGGAAGGATAGAGTGGCTGTCTCCTTGGCAGCCAATCAGGGCCAAGCAGACCAGTATAAAAGAAGCTGCTGGGCAGTTCTATATACTGACCGGGAAAACAGCAGCACTATGGACAGCTCTGAGTGCAAGCTGAAATTTAGACCCTGGTTAAGCCCAGGTCAGTGGCTGAAGATTAGCCACAAGCTGAATACCAGAACAGATATGAGATCCTAGCCTCAGAACCTTGACACAACCAGACAGGGCAGCATCTGGGGCAGAAGAGACTCAGGGAGCCAGGAAGTACCAGATGGCCAGGCAAAGAGCTTAACTGACACCCCTCAGCCACAGAGGGGTACTCACAAGTGGGCGGACCCCCATTACACATATTTAGGAGGTCAGTTACTTAAGGGCCAGATGTTTAAGGGTATTAAGTGCATAAAGATGCGCATAGACAACACACAGGATTTTCAGAAGCACGTAGGCTCTGTTTTAACAGTGTTGATCTCATTAAATACAAAATGGATCATGGTTATCTAGTGAATGTTACTCTGCAATGCTTTATTACCATATTTCCTTACATATATATCACATTCTAAGATCTGTATGAGTTTTTACAAACTGGAACTTAAACAATTAACAAAGAAAATTACTTTTAATACAAAAAAGTTTGTACTTTTTTTAAATTAGTCCATTCCTAGGCTGAATTCTGCCCTTACATGAATGTGTCCAATCCCAAGGAAGACAATGTTGTTACATGTATCAACAAAAGTGAAATGTGGCCCACTGTTGTCAAGACAGGGGCATTAGTCTGTGGCACTGAAGTCCCATATACATTACGTACGACATATAATCTCATTCTGTGTTGTCAGACAAAACCAAAATGATATTTCTTTAGCTGTCTGGTAGGTTATCACATGATATTTTTCACAGGTACATGATATTTTTCACAGGTCTTATAATACTGATCAGGTGCCAGATTTATTCTCCGGACATTAAGCTCTGTGGCAAAGGTTCTTGCCTTTTGATAGAAGAAAAGAGACATCTCCCGATCCATAAGGAAATTGTGATAGATTATTGCAAGTCTTGTATAAATCGTCAGTTGAGCCTTTTTGTTGCCCAAATCCATGGCAGCTGCAAGCGCCAAATGATAATATCCTGCTGCATCAAAAGGATCCTGAAATAAGAGGTTATATCAAGAAGTACACAAATATGGCTTCTGAGGAGTAATTTATTAGCTATAAAAGCAAGAGATAATTTGGTCCCAATCCTAAATGCTGTACTCAGGCAAAATTCATGATCAGACACTTATTTTTCAGAGGTAAATTAAGGCCTCCTAAAGATACAGATAGATGCCTAGTAAGATTTTTAAAAACATCTAAGTAGGTTAGACCCCTAAATCTCACTCTCTCCCTTAGATAGTTATCAACCGTTCTCTTCTCCCTAGATCTTTATTAAAATATTGCTCTTTAGTCCATCCTGGCATTAATACCTGAAGCATTTTTTCTCAGCTATATTAACATGTCTATAGGCTATTCAAAACAACATAATTTAATTCCAATGTAACAGTATTACTTTTTACTCTAATGTAGGTAGATTTTTAAATATATCTTGTGAATGTGAATGTAATGGTTGTGAAAAGTGCAGGGCTGACAACTGTGAAGACTGCAAACTTTGTTAATCCATAGAATAGACAGCCGTGGGGCCACCTTCGCTATGCTGCACCCTGACTCTGCTTCAGCCCAGAACAAGAGGGGCCATCTCTGGGGAGGAAATGGCACTTCATGTTCCATGCTTATTTGGTTCTTGCTCTCTCATCCAAGAACACCTATAGGCTTGCGCATTCATAAACAGTATTCCAGAAACCAATCCTTGATGAACTTGTACCAGGTACTAGAAAGTTCTATATTCCCTTCAAAATGCACTGAACTATCTAATTCCTACAGCTCTGAGCTCTTTCACTCAAGGTAGCAGGATTATCCAAGTGAAATATCTGGTTTGACACACACAATGATGTAAATGTATTTCCCACTGTTGTTATTTTTGTACCTCATTCCATGCTGCCTGTCACACTTGGGAGGTGCTCCCTGTAAACATCTACAAAACAAATTCATTATCTTCCTTCAAACCTTCCTCAAAACTCTTTTTTTACATGATGCCTACAAACAACTTGCTGAGATTACAATCTATCATGCTGACAAGTATTATCTCATTGTGTCTTATATGATCCCATCTGTGTGTTTCCATCTATTTGTTGCCTTTTGTTTCAAACTTAGATTGTAAGATCTTTGGAGCAGGGATTTTATGTCATGTCTGTACAGAACCTAGAAAAATGGGATCCTTTCCCACAACTAAAGCTCTTAGGCACTACAGCAATGAAAATATTTCTTACCTTTAGGTCATAGAATATAATGTCTCCTAGGATCAGATATACTTTCACATAATATATTGTTTCCTCATCAAATTCCAAAGGAGAGGCACAAAGGGACAATGCTTTTAAGTAAAAGTGTTCAGCAAGTTCACAGTGACCCAGGCGATGATGGATAGCAGCCAGTCTGTGATATGCTATTCGTTCATTTAGCTGGTTTCCTAATGAAATAACACATGAATCAGGATATAAGCTAAGAGACAATGAGGAGAAGATGCATTCTCTCAAGGCACATCTACACAGCAGGGCAAAAGTTGAATTAAGCTACACAACTTCAGCTACATGAATTGGGTAGCTTAAGTCGAAATAGCCTAATTCAGCTTTTAGCATGGTCTATACAGCAGGAACCTGAAGGAAGAACACTCTTCCTTTGGCTTCCCTTACTCCCCATAAAATGAGGATTATAGGAGTCAGAGTAAGAAGTCCTCCAACTCACCATTATTTCGAAATAATGGCTTGCAGTATAGACATGCTCTTTGTTATTTCAGAATAACGTTATTCTGAAACAACGCTGCTGTGAGATATGTGAGGCTATGCTTTGCTTTAAGTCTTGTTTCTGTTCTACTTTTCATTTGCTTTAGTTTTGATAATTGAACATTGTCCGATGCAAAATCACTTTGCCCAACTAGACATAAGACCAAATACTGCAGTTCTGATTTCTATGGAAATTTTGTCTATGTAAGAATTGCTGAATCTAAGTAATTAGACACCTCCACACACACACACATCCATCACTGTGGTAAGATTGCCTTTAGAAACAATGAGAGCAATTGCTCTTTTTCCTACTTTCCAGTCTTTGAAAAAAAATATTTTAGTTTGTAGGCTTATGGTTAAATATTTGGATGTGAGTGGGTGTGTCCTATGTCTTTGTGAGGGCTCCATCAAACAATGGTGTCCTTAGTACTGGTTGGATTATTTAATATTTCATGTCTGGAGGTACTCTACACCATATCAAAGATAATCTCTGTTAGTAGGATCTCAGGTCTTGACTACATTCTTATTACCAGATGTGTCTGAAATTGCCTTAATTTCAATAACATTTTTCCATCAAAAATTTTCACGCAAACACACCCCAAATTTTGATAAAAGATTTTGTAAAAATATTCTCTTCCTTCAACTAGCTATAGAGCTGTTCAGTGAATATGACAATAGAAAAATGTTGACAAGTTTTAGAAAGATGGACATTATTAACATTTAGGGAAAAAAGTAACACATTTTGAAAAATATCCACAGATTCTTTACTGATTTTTTTATCATCTCTATTCACTGCTGAAGAAAGAAAGGAATCAAAATTCACAGATTGTGTGCTAGACTCCTCTTTATGGCTACATGAGAATCGATTAGATTACATGTAAAAGGAGGAAAGGAAATATAATGCAGTGTTTGGGACATTAGCCTGGGAGTTGGCATATCTGGAGTCTACCTCTACTCTATCAAACTTCCTGTGCTACCTGGCGCAAATCATTTTGTCTTCTTGTGCCTCAATTCTTCATCTGTAAAATGCAGCAGCACTTCTCTACCTCACAGGTGTCTTTTGAATATAAATATATTAATGATTGTGAGGTGTCAGATAAAGGGAATTAGGGCCGTGAAAATTCACAAGGAGAAATTAACCATAAATACAGAAATTAGGATGTAGGAATCATATCTTATGGCTCATTATTGGAACAGCCTGCTCTATAGGCTCTGGTCATCATGCAAGGTGCCAGATCAAGTCTCCATCTCTCACTTTTCTCATGTACAGTAAGTGAGACCTGGAGAGGGTTAATGCTAATAGTTGCTAGATTTCAGGTGGCCTCATCTGGAAACAAATAATATCAGATCTGCGAGCTAATTAGAAAATGTTAGGCAGGAACATAACTAGACTACGGCAAGTTAAGAAATGAAACAAAAACTTATTAAAACTCATGAGCTGACACCTCTTCCAGCTAGAGAGGATTCAAAAACAGACGTGAAAATCGCACTGACTTCCAAGCACGCAAAACCCTGGCAACAAGCATCATAAAATTCCAAGGAGGAAGGGGCAAATCTTTCTGGAATTCTATCAATTATTAGAAAAGTCTGTCAGTCAGTAGTCTGTGAATATTAGCTGTACCTAAATTCACACTAAGCATGAGGGATACTTGTGCATACTCCAGACTGTTCTCATAATCCTGTAGATTTAACAGCAAGTGCACTAATTTGTTGCATAATCGGAGTTCTGCCATTTTGTTTCCCATCTTGATGGCAAGTGGAAGAGCTCTGTCCTGAAATAAGCACATGCATAAAAAGATCAGTTTGGTTATTACAGAAACCCAGAAGACACATATACTCATAACTGGTCCGTGTTCTTCTCATGTTTAGTAAATTCTGTACTTTATGCGCACAAGGGGAAATCCTGGTTTTATCAAGGTCAATGATGCCTTTGTAATTTACTTCAGGGATTTGAGAGAATTCAGAGTCATAATACACAAGAGATTGTATTTTTGGGGCGGGAACAGTTTGTGCCTAGTACAATCATAGCCGTGACTGGAGCTGCTGTGTGCTACCACAATACAAATAATAAGTAGCAATCACTAACCCTGTAGAATGACACTGCTTTTTCCCTCTCCCAAGTACCATTGAAAAATATGTCTCCTGCAGCTTCAAATAATTCCATTCCTAAGTTAGGATCCCCATTACAAAGAGCAGCATCTTGAGCGACCTAGCAAGAAAAATGCACATTCTGTTATGAAGTCATTTTTATTCATTCAGAACTGAAACCCATAATGAAATGCCACTGTATATGAGGTTTGGTACGCACTGTACAGCATTATAAACCTTAAAGTCAGCAATGTCGTCTTATGTCATCTTGTCTCTCTTTTACTGTAGCGCTGTTCACTGCAATATATTCTTTAGTGCTGTGGCATACATACTCAGTAGCTACAACATATGCACTTTTTCAGCTAAGATAGATAAAGGATGGTTGACAATTGGCTATTTCAAAGAGTGAGGATTTATAGTTCAGGTTTAAATTTGTGGCCAAATGCTTTAATTATGTATGGGAGTGAAGTTCCCTTGAAGTCAACAAAGAATCTGGCCCTGTATCTTGCTGCTGTTAAATGAATTTATGCCACTTCAGTCACAGTGAAATGTCAGGATGCACCCAATAAAACGAAGGATTGCTGTCACATACAGAATACTCAGTTACTGTTCCAAAAGGATACAATTTACAAAACAGTGAGAAACACATGTACATGAAGCAAATTAAGTATTCCTACTGTAGCTATATTACAACCATCTATATGGCAGCAAAACAGCCAAATCTTCTAATTCATAAATGGCCACTGTTATGCAATGATTCTTGCAAATGACAAAATTGTATAAACAGGCACACAAAAGAACACACACTAAAGAGAATTCAACATCAACTGAACTTCATTAATTCATTCGATAAAAGCAGTGTCATTTTAATTATGATAATCACAAAACTGTAAATTAAGTCTTAAGTGATATGGGGCCTTCACTTCAACACTTTTTTGGGGAAGTGGCATATTTGTGCGTTCAGATCAAGGACTGAGTATGGGATCTTAAAACCAAAGTGGCTGTATTGGGGGAGTTAAGGAAGACATGAATGGTTCCACCCCCAGACTGACAGACTCTGTGCTGTTGTGGAGGATGAAAGTCTCAAGGAAGGAGAATATCAAACTAGAGCTGAGGGTAACGATCCCATCACTGAGACCCTCTTTTCCAGATGATGTCATGGTATTGTTTCACATTGAGGGTACATCTCCAGGGAAGGGAATCCCAGTTGCTAGGAAGAGACAGGTAGTAATAATAATGGGGGACCCAATCATTATTAACATAGACCGCTGGGTTTGTGCTGACCAGGAGAACCACAGGGGGAATTGCTTGTCAGGTGTGCAAGTCACACATCTAGACAGACATATAGACAGTGCTGGGGCAGTGGTTGTAGGTTCTAGGAAAGGTAGAAAAAAAAGGTGTTGGGTGACCAATTTGGGCTGCTAGATAAGAGACTGAAATCAAGGACCTCCATGGGTAGCAGCAAATGAGATCAGTTAGATAGAAGAGCTGCAGGGTCTCAGTGCATAGATAAGATGATGGTGTAAGAGGAGGATATTTGGGATTTCTGATATGTAAAATGAAAAGGGTTATGAGGAGTTTTTAATCTAAGAGCTGGAAGAAAGCTCATATTGCCTGAAATATGTACTTTTCTGGACAAGACATCCCATGGGGGAGAATCCATTAATGAGGACTCCCTATATCCAAGTAAAAAAGAACAGGATAGAAGTAGATCAAGTGTAGCTAGTAACAGAAGAGAAACAGCCAGATGAAAGACAGTCCTATTCAATTACATCAAATGAAGGCAAACACCAAAAAAGGGACAAATTTTATAAGTGCTTATATGCAAATGCTAGAATTCTAAAGACTAAGATGGGTGAACCTGAGTGTCCAGGATGAAATGAGAATATTGATACAACAGGCATCAAAGAAACTTGGTGGAATGATGAGAATCAATCAATGGGACATGATCCTACCAGGGGACACAATAAATGGGAATGACCAATGTTATGCTGCTTGGCAAGTCACACTTGTATGTAAAAGAAAGCATAGAGTTAAATGTAGTAAAACACTTAAATGACTCGCATTGTAACACAGCATCTTTATGGATACAAATTTCATGCCTTTCCCTGCACTAGCCTTGAAAGGGTTAACCGTGCTTTGCAAACTGAGGAAATCCTGCCCTCTGACTCTGCTGGGCACGCTCAGCCAGGAGGCAGAGTATAAAAGAAAGCAACACAATTCATTCTGGGCAGGCTGCTGGAAGGAGAAAGATGCAGAATCTCTCCAGGGGGCTGCTACAAGCTCCAGCTACAGAGCTATGGCATGCAGAGTTCCAATCAGGCTCCAAGCTGCCAGATAAGCTAGACGAAGGGACAGTGCTAGTGGGAGCTATGCCACCCAAGGACCTCAGAGATCCTGGGGAACCATGGAGTATCATCAGGGGAGAAAGGGTAAGATGACAACCAGGGACTTAGACTCCTCTTCAGCAAGTGAACCCAAAGCATCAGTCCATGTGTTTCAGAAGGATCCCCGTTGACTCGGTGGTGAGCACCCTACCTCCAAGTCCCCCTACCCTGGATGCTACAGCCCTGGAGTGGTTTCTCATTTCCCCAACAGGCCAACGGGCCACACAATCCCTTCCATAGTGTCAATAAAGGGCTGCTTTATTGACACTAGCCATTGGACTACACTGTCCTGGAGGAAGGGCTGTTTTATTGACACTGGCTACTAGGCCATATTACATTTGATAGTCAGGGTCATGAACAAGATTCATAACCTCCTGCAATACAGTTCTTTTCCTTCTTCTCCCCATACATGACCCAGCACCTATGAAGGGATGTATCTAAATTGCAACAACATTCAAGAAAGAGACCTTGGAGTCACTGTGGATAATTCTCTGAAAATATCCACTTAGTTTTTTAAATTGCTGCTATATACTAACAGAATGCCATTAAGAAAGCCATAAAGACTTTATATATTTTAGAACTGAAAAGGTTCCAAAAAAAAACAAAAAAAACCCTTCCAAAAAAAAAAAACTTCAAAAAAATGAGTACAGGATCTTTCGACAAAGGGGTTTATTTCGAAAGAACTGTGTCTAGACAGCAGTTTCACTTTTGAAATACCCATTTTCGAAAAAACGCGCGGCCACCACTATGGAAATGAAGCACGGGAAATTCAAATCCCAGCTTCATTTGAGATTTTGATCTGTCTAATTTACATCCCTCTTTCAAAAGAGGGGTGTAGTTTATAAATGCCCTTCCCTATAACAATCCCACCTGTATCTCACACATGTTTTCACAGAGCTACAGTTAAAGCCTCAAAACTTTTGCCAGAAGCTGGAAACAGACAACAGGGCATGGATCCTTTGACAACTACCCATTCTGTTCATTTCCTTTGGATCACCAAGCACAGGCCACTTTTGGAAGACAAGAGACTGGGTTAAATAGACCTTTGGTCCGACCCAGTATGGCCATTTGTATGTTCGTGATAAAATTCAGCATACCTGAATATAAAGATCCACTAGCTCATTCTGCCTCAAAATGTAATAAATCTTTCCTGCCTGAAGCCAGGCATATGCCTCCTTCTCTTTCTTCTGAAGATCTATAAATATTCCAAGGCTTCTTTTGGTATATTCCAGAGCTGATCTGTAAGCCCTAGGAAAAAGTAAAAAGAAAGTAAATCCTAATAACTGAGTGCACCTCTATAACTTTGCCACACCTATCTTCCTTTTGTAATAAAAATTAGGTTTACTATTTTCTGTCAGATCTCAAATTTTCTTCTTTACGTGGTATAATCTGATAATATTTCCCAGATGTTTTTGGTAAGTAAGCAGTTTCTCACATTTTTCATCTCTTCCAGTTTGATTTTGCTTGATTCCCTCATCTCTTTGCTTTGTAATACAGTGATGTTTTAGGATAGTATCTTCCCGATATGTCATTTCTTATGAGACATGCTCTGGGCTTGGTCCCCCTCTTTCCGGGAGCATGCTTTCCTTCCGTTCTCCCCTCCTCTCCTTCCCTCCCCCTGCCCTCTCCCCACTCACCCCCCGCATTGCCCAAAGGACCCCCAGAGGCTGTCCACTCCACTGCATGTGGGCCAGCAGGTGGGGCCGGTAGAATGCATGGAGAACCCTGCTCCCCCTGGAGTCCTGCTAGTGAGGGATACCTGCTAGTCTGCTAGGAGGATCTGAAGACTGGCACTGGCCCTAAGGAAAACTGAATTGAGCCCCTGATCTATACTTTTTTTCAAAAAATTACATGTTTTTCATGTTAGTATAATGCAAACACAATCTTTCATCTAGACCAGAACATATCATTAAGCATCATACAGCAGTTAATGCAAAAATCAATCAGATAACATAACAAAAAATCAGTCACTTGGACTGCAGTCCCTGTAGCCAATTCAAATAACTCTCTGATTAACCACAGGATTGAGGCTAATCTTCTGTAAAGCATATTAAGTCCTCAGGTGATTGCATTATTGAATTTATTGGTAATGGTCTTAAAATGTCAGATATCTAGAAGGTTGAGCTGAGTCCAGTATAGCAGCTGGGAGAGTATATCCCAAAAGTTTGAAAAACAGTCTAGATCAAGTTTACTTTATGGTGTTTTAGAAGCAAATGATCCCTACTTAATCTGAGACAAAATAACATTAATCAGAGGAATCAAAATGGAGAGGGGAAAACATTCCGACAATGCATCCATGCACAGATCTAAAAAATTACCAAACAATCGCTCAGCAAATGCACATGTACAGCCTAACTCTTCCTCCCAGTGCCTGGGTAAGATACTTTTAAGTAATATAGCCATAGAGATTGACTCTTCCATTCAGCTCCTTTGTTTTTCCTCTAGTTAAGCCAAATGAATATTAAGTTCCTGGAAATAAAAGCTAGATGGCAGTGGCCAAAACTTGGCATTATGGAAATGTCCACACATTTTGTCTATTCATGTTAGTTCTGAACAGCCATGCCTTCTAGGGATTGAGGCTTTCCTTGATATAGATAGCTAATTGTACCATGTTTAGATGTGGCCCCTTCCTATATACACAGGATCAAATACAACTGGCCAAATGCTGTGGAGATACAGAGGTAGGTGAGGAGATGAATCAATCACTACAGGCCATTCAGCAGCTGTGTACACACTCTGCAGTGGTTATTTCTTCCTGAAGTCTGATGTGGAGCACTTACATGGCCTGTTCCTCTGGGAGAGAATGGGAGGATCCTCACAGAAGCAAAACCTTAGCTCAGCCTCTGGCTTGACCACACTTACCACTCTCGTTACCCATCTAGGCTGCTACATAAGAGACATATGTGTAAGAAGACTATCCTGTGTGAGGCCTGCATGCCTCACTTCAATCCAGCCTCTTAGGCCATGTCTTTACTACAGGGAAGATCAATGCTGCTGCGATCAATCTCCCAGAGTTTGATTTATCATGTCTAGTAAAGACCCACTAAACTTAACTCATAAGGTTCCCCATTGGTGACCAGTACTTCAAGGAGTAAGGGAAGCTGATGGGAGCGTTTGCTCCCATCAGCTGCCTGCTTTGGGGATGGCAGGGAAACCTGAATTAAGTTACGTTGACTCCAGCTACGTAATTAGCATAGCTGAAGTTGCATATCTTAACTCGACCTTCTCCTTTAGTGTAGACCTGGCCTTACACTTGTGCAGTGGAAATATGCTGGTTCTGCTGCTCAAAGGCCATCAACTGCTGCAGAGAAAGGGACATGATTTGTCCCCCTAAATAAAATAGATTTTCTATATATCCTCTTGCAATTAGGCTTGTAACATTACACTCATTTCACTGGGGATGCAGCCTAATTCAAGCCCAGGAAATGTAATAATCTGCTCTCTGGCTCCACCTGATTTCAAGCCTTAGGTAACTGGAGCACCAGAATCTCCAATGCAAACAATAAAGTGAGGAGTTTGATCCTGATCTCCTATGGTCAACATCCAATGAGATATACTCTGAATGAACGGCGAGGAGTCCTGTGGCACCTTATAGACTAACTGAAATGTAGGAGCATAAGCTTTCGTGGGCAAAGACCCACTTCGTCAGATGCAACCTGACGAAGTGGGTCTTTGCCCACGAAAGCTTATGCTCCTACATTTCAGTTAGTCTATAAGGTGCCACAGGACTCCTCGCCACTTTTGCAGATTCAGACTAACACGGCTACCCCTCTGATACTTGACTCTGAATGAAGAAGCTCTGAGCACAGCTGCATCCAAAAAGTGTTTTAACCACTTCTGTCTGGCAATAGGGAACTTCGCAGTAGTCTCCAGGATACAAGAAAACTACAGCCAAGAAGAGTATTGTAACAGAGGGATAGATGTAACAGAGGGATAGAGATAGCTGTGAGTATATGCAGCCATTCACAATCTGATGGGGGTTTGTTGGTCTAAGTAAAAGAGTCTCCTTGAGTTGCTATGGAAATGTTTCCACATACAAACTGTGATGGTGATTTTCATTAACATCATTCACTGTCACAGCAGAGATGCCAAGGGGGCAAATTTTCAAAAGAAATCAGCTTGTGCAGGGCTGCTGAGCATGGCCCCAATTGTGAGTGCTGAGCCCTGGAAAATCTGGCCTGGAGATCATTTGAAAATGGGCACCAATTAAACTCTCAGCTGCAAAGGCTACCCCTGCAATTCTAGACTAAGGCATATTGGCAGAATGGTGTAGGAGCACATTGTATTGCCATTGCCAGTACCACCAGAGCGAGAAAGTGTATGGGTACAAAACAAAAAACAGTTGTTTAAACAGACCTCACCTTTCTGTGCCTAACGAGAGATACAGCTGACTGATCCTTTCCAAAATTTGTCCCTCCAAAACTTTGTCTGACATTTTCCTCGCCAAGGATAGTTGATACTCATTGTAGACGACACACTGAGCTTCATCTGGAATAACTGTAGTGTAGAATTGACATAGCAACCGAACAGCTTGAAGCTGACCTGGGAAACAGATTAAGAAATAGTAATGAATAATCCACATGAATCTCGATATTAAGCACAAATAAAATGAGGTTTAAGTGAACTCCTTTCTGTTATGGAAATCTAAAATAGCTGGAACACGGTCATACGCAACATTTTCTCAGACATTGCTCTGTACTATGGTAGAAGTACACTCCCTGTACCATATCATGCTTAATGTCTAGAATAAAAGGTACTAAAAGCCTTGTTCTTTCTGCATCTCCTGTCTTCTGGTCCCTGAAGTGTCACTCAGAACGACTAACAGTGCCACTGTTCTAGCCACCAAGCGACAGTTCTTATCCACAAGTAAATGAAAACTTTCCTTAATCTTTACAATTTAAAATTAAAATTTATATCCTCCCTGTTTATTACACAATTCATTTGCAAATGCTACTGACATTTTTCATTTACTTTTGATTTTTGAACTAGTTTCTTTCTGTCAAGATTTTCATTTTCTACCTCATTTCTGACAACCCTAAAAAGTACACGAAGAGCAAGGACATTGCCTTAGTTACGTCACACTGTCAAATAGCATGTAATCATAACACTAAAGATGATCTCATAGGGTATGTCTACACTTACCCCCAGTTCAAACTAGGAACACCTCATTGCACGAGGAGTAACAGTTAATTTGAGGGAAGGGTTTTGGATCAGACTACCACGTCTACACAGGGCGAGTTAATTCGGGCTACCAGCTTTTTAAAATGGTGACCGGCCGCAAATATGCTAATCAAGTGCGGGATATTTAAATCCCATGCTTCAGTGGCAACTTCAGTATGCTTCATTTGCCTCCCTAGTTCGAACTGGGGGGTAAGTGTAGACATACCCATAATGAATACACACAAAGGGACCTGAATTAAAGTAACCTGTGAGAATTTAATTCTGGCATTTCCTAACTTCTGAATGCAACCTACTAATTAAAGGTACCTATATTATCTTGATTACCATAGCATCTGAGTGCCTCACAATCTTTAAGGGCTTTATCCTCACAACACCCTTGTGTGATAGGGAATTATGATCACAGCATACAAACTGAGAAGTTAGCTAACAACATAAAGTACTCTGTCTGAAAGTCTCAACCTCCAGAACTTTAACAAAAAAGAACTAAAAAACAGAAAGATTGAAAGCAGATTGTTCCATAAGATAGAGATGCACATCTCTCCCCCATCTTGGTCTAGGGCTAGCATTCTGCATATTGATAGCTGAAAGACATAGATTGCATGCTTCCCTATAGAGACCCCTAGCCTGCAAGCAAGACTAGGAAAATGCCAGAGCTTTAAAGTGGTATCTTATCATTTTAACAGTTTTCAATATACCACACAAGGAAATACTATTTCCCACCATTTTCTCCCTGTTTCACAGATGGCGAACTGAGACACGGAGAGGCTAAATGACTCTCCAAGGTCACACAGGAAATCTGTGACAGGGCAGGAAATTGAAATCGTATCTTCTGCGCCAGCCTAGCACCTAAAAACTGGACCATCTTCCTTCTCTCTTCTTCCACATGCATACTCTCATTGTAAACAAAGGATTTCCAGGTTCTGAGTCACTCATATAACTGTAATGTGAACTGAAAACAGAATATTGCTTAAGGAAGAGCTGGAATGTATATAGATTGCAAACATTCCCAAACACCAGGGTACAGTAAAAAGTATTTGAAAAACAAGAAGACAAATATACTTACTTTCCAAATTGTTTGTTTCCATTGCCACCAACAATGCCCATTCATAATAAAATTGTCCTCTTTTCTTTTGACTCCCATTAGCATAATTGGATCCCAGTCGGAGGAGGACTTGAGTAAAATCATGGCCACAATCCAAGCTTGGAAGTCTAGAGAATAGCTTTACTGCTTTGATATAATAATGCTCTGCCAAATGGCTCACTCCTGAATGCAGGCAGAGCATTCCCAAATTAGCCAGAACTACAGCATGGTTGTGTACCATATCAGTCTCTTCTGAAATATGCAGAGCTTTGTAGTAACTCACAGTAGCTTGTTTTATATTGTTGGTTTGTTTCAAAGCAATGGCAATCATATTATAAATAACACCTAACTGCTGAGGACTACTCAATGAAGAGTCTACAATGGTATTTAAGATGGACAAAGCTATCGTATTTTGCCTGTGGAGAATGTATAACCAAGCCAGTGAAACTAAATGGTTAATAGTTTCTCCAGCATGAGCAGAAGTATCAAAGTCCAGTACTTTCTCCATATAAACAATGGCGTCTCCATATCGTCTGTGATGACTGTACAGTTCTGATAAGCTAAGATAAATTGTGCTGCATAGTTTCTGCTGCTCCTTGGTAAATGCTGAGGAAAGTGCCTGTCTAAGATAAGGTGCAATTTGGGATGGAAGCATTTGCCCAGCTTTCCTCAACCTATGGAGTTTGGGGGCATTTTTAGTGACTAAATCAATGCTTCTCAAAGCGTCCATTAAAGTACATGACCCCTGGGAAGAAGCAACCTTTATGCAACTTAGTACAATGTGTGGCAAGCATTTTTGATTGTAGGACTCACCTAGTTTAATATAGCAGTCAGCAGACATTATGCTCTTCTGTAAATCCAAGTCATTACTCAAAAGCTGCAGCCTTTCTAGGAAAGGTAGCGCCTCTTCATATTGTTTAAGTTTGGTATGATGTTTTGCCAACAGAAAGCATGCTCTGACTTCTGCATGCTTGCTCTGACTCACTATTGTCGCCTTTAAAGCATACCTTAAAATGTCTGATTCCATGTCAATGCTACAGATGTAGTTGGGAATTCCCATGAGCAGGGAAGCAACTTTGTCAAAAACATGAGCACATTTTTCTTTGTTCTTCTGTTTCAAATAAATGGCTGTTAGATTTGTATAAAGAGCAACTACAAGGTACAGGTCACCAAAACCGCCTTTTATAGCTCCTAAGGCTTCTTCAAAATAAACGCGAGCTTGGGAAAATTTGAGCTTTCTAATACTCAGTCTACCCAAGAGAAAGCATAGCCTGGCGAGGGCCCAAGGCAAATTTGCTTTCTTTGCTGCCTCCCTTGCCAGTCCAAAATAGCAAACCAGTTCTTCTTCACCACTGTAGCCATAAAATGTGGTGCTAAGAAATGGGAAGGAGAAGTCATACAGGTGTTTGAAGTGCATCTCATACTCTTCACTGTTTAAGAACAACAATAATGACTCAGTGATTCCAGATCCTTGATCTTCATCATCTTGTTGTATGCAGAAATGTGGCTCTTCAGCCAAGGCACAGATCTGCTGGTTTGAAGAACTAAGAAAATCATTTCCTTGACTAGACGTCTCTTTCAGCTGGTGCTGGAAATCTTTACATTTCATTAGGGATTCTTCTACCATCTTCATCATTCTACTGGAGTCCGTATTAAATGAGGGATGTGGCATTTCTGAAATTCAAAAGCAAGATCCAGATGAATACATGAATATAGACATATTTATGGGGTTGGACATTTAAGCAAAATCAATCAACAAACAATGTTGTAAATTGTAAAGAAAACACAAATAGAGCTTTAATTTTTTCTTGAGAGGACTTTTAATGTTTATATTCTTCAGTGAAACAGAGTACAGGCAGTCCCCGGGTTACGTACAAGATAGGGACTGTAGGTTTGTTCTTAAGTTGAATCTGTATGTAAGTCGGAACTGGCATCCAGATTCAGCCGCTGCTGATCAGTTTCATCAGCAGCTGACTTGGGGACGCCTGGGGTTCTTAAGTTGAATCTGTATGTAAGTCGGAACTGGCATCCAGATTCAGCCGCTGCTGATCAGTTTCAGCAGGGGCTGAATCAGGACGCCTGGGGCAGAGCAGCTGGGGTGCTGCTGGGTTGGTCCAGTAGTGCAGCTGCTCCTCGGCGCTACTGGACCAACCCAGCAGCACCCCAGCTGCTCTGCCCCAGGCGTCCCTAAGTTAGCCGCTGCTGAAACTGACCAGTGGCTGACTACAGGAAGCCCGAGGCAGAGTTGCTCTGCCCCGGGCTTCCTGGAATCAGCTGCTGGTCAGTTTCATCAGCAGCTGACTTGGGGACGCCTGGGGTTCTTAAGTTGAATCTGTATGTAAGTCGGAACTGGCATCCAGATTCAGCCGCTGCTGATCAGTTTCAGCAGGGGCTGAATCAGGACGCCTGGGGCAGAGCAGCTGGGGTGCTGCTGGGTTGGTCCAGTAGTGCAGCTGCTCCTCGGCGCTACTGGACCAACCCAGCAGCACCCCAGCTGCTCTGCCCCAGGCGTCCCTAAGTTAGCCGCTGCTGAAACTGACCAGTGGCTGACTACAGGAAGCCCGAGGCAGAGTTGCTCTGCCCCGGGCTTCCTGGAATCAGCTGCTGGTCAGTTTCATCAGCAGCTGACTTGGGGACGCCTGGGGTTCTTAAGTTGAATCTGTATGTAAGTCGGAACTGGCATCCAGATTCAGCCGCTGCTGATCAGTTTCAGCAGGGGCTGAATCAGGACGCCTGGGGCAGAGCAGCTGGGGTGCTGCTGGGTTGGTCCAGTAGTGCAGCTGCTCCTCGGCGCTACTGGACCAACCCAGCAGCACCCCAGCTGCTCTGCCCCAGGCGTCCCTAAGTTAGCCGCTGCTGAAACTGACCAGTGGCTGACTACAGGAAGCCCGAGGCAGAGTTGCTCTGCCCCGGGCTTCCTGGAATCAGCTGCTGGTCAGTTTCATCAGCAGCTGACTTGGGGACGCCTGGGGTTCTTAAGTTGAATCTGTATGTAAGTCAGAACTGGTGTCCAGATTCAACTTAAGAACAAACCTACAGTCCCTATCTTGTACGTAACCCGGGGACTGCCTGTATTTGTGAGAGAAACATAAAGCTGTTTGCTGAAAACTGCCACAAATTGAAAACTTTCAGGCGAAAACTGCCAATATATATATCAAAATAAAATAAAATAAACTGAAATCAGTTAGGGCTTTTTGTCTGGCTGTTCTCTGACAAAAACATTTAATATTCAAGAAAAGAAAACACTCTCTACAAACATTTAATTGAAAACCCAATTTTACAACTAAAAAAATTAATAGAAATGTTTCAACCAACCCAAATTTTAAAAAGCCATCCTAATAATTCTAATGATATTGTGCTATGTATTTGTTGCTCTGAGCATAGGAGTATGCTGGAAAGATTAAAGATGTAACAGGCCTATAGAATCATAGAGTAATAAAATAATAGGGTTGGAAGAACCCTTACAAGGTCTTTGAATCCATCTCCCTGCCCAAAGCAGGACCAACCCCATTCTGTGATGAGCCTTTTTCAGTTAATAAAAAAAAAGAGTCTAGAATAAGTTAGATCTGTGCTAGTTTTGGTGCAATCATAAATAAGATGCAAATCCTGCTTCCTCCAGCCCTTCAGCAATGGAACTAGCATGGTTTGGAGGGGGGTAGTGATATGCAGGATTTTTAGGTCATTCAGGTTGTGCAATAGAAATAATTAAATTAAATGGCACCACGGTCCATCACCAACAAAAAACACTAGGAGGAAAGAACACTCATCTGATGCCCTAAGAGCATGGAAGTTTGTAACAGATTCTGAAAGCTGCTAGATTTTAGAACTGAATGTTTTCTGTGAACAGGCACAGAAGAGAGGGGAAATCACATCTCACAGAAATGACAATTTTAAAATGACAAAATTTGTCAATTTTTCCATAAGAAGATCAGAGACATGAGAATAAAAATAATATAAAATTATATATTTTTACCTTGTTCTTGAGGCTTCTGAAATTCTAATTCTTCTAATCTGTCTAAAAGAAAATGAAAACAGCACCAGTAGTTCATACCTGTCTTTTACCTAGTAGGATTGTTTAAACTTTTCTACATGCAGAATTCCAGGTATGTTATGGACATTAAAAATAATGGATCTTTTTTTATAAACTTGTAAAAATTAACAAAACCTTAGTTCACTGGTGAGCTACTCTCATGCCTAAGACTGACATCTTCCACATTATTACAATCACATTACATACTCTTTGCATGTCTGTTGCACATTTAATACTGAGGAGTAATTGTACCTCTTCCTAAACATATAGACGTGTGCAGCTAACAAATTTAAAACTTACTTGCGACTATAGTATTTTAATGTGGAATGGTGGTTGTTGCATTTCATAATGTCTATACTAATCTATAGATGTTAATATAATATATTTTGGTATCTATAACTTGACAGTGAGAATATGTAATACTCTCCCATTCACACATGTGTAATTATATACTATGGCCCTTGTCTATGTAATAACAACACAGTGTCAGAGCCTCAGCACGTATGTTGTGAAGTAGTTGCACTGACTTCAACAAGCTACATTGATTTATACTAGCTGAGGACTTGACCTATAGATTAGATAAGATATTCTTTTCAGAGGCTTTATCATATCATGTAAATCCTATCATGTTTAGTAAATGAGACTTCCAGTAAAAGTCAAGGAGAGAGATATTTTTCTTTAGAAAAATGTTGTGTTTGACAAACATAGCAAGGGACAATTCCAAGAACACCAGAAGAAGCTGTTCTCTGGGAATGGGAGCCTAATCCTATTTCTACAAGAGCCAGAGAGTGCTGTGGGATTGAGTTAATAGACGGATAGATTCCAAGGCAATTGTGATCATCCAGAGTAATCTCTGGTTTTACACAAGACACAGAACTTCTTCAAAAGTTATTCTAAATGCATATCATTTAGAAAAACTTCCAATTTTGATTTTTACATGGTTGATTTATGCCATATTTCCAGTATGAATTAGTCTATCTCCAACCTCGAGTTATATCTACTACTAGACTGAAGAGCCCTTTATTAAAAATGTGTTTGACAACTAGGAAAAGGTGCTGAATTTCTCTTTTCCCCATTCTCCACCTCCACCCTGAGGCCCCATCTCCACTCCACCTCCTTCCCCAGAGCCCTGCTCTCACTCTGCCTCTTCCCATTCCGCCCTGTCCCACCGGGCCCTTCTCTGGCTCTGGCTCTTCCTGCCCCCTCCACCACTTCCCCATCTGCCACTCACTGATCTCCGCTCTCCCCCAAATCCATCCTCCAGCTGCCAAACAGCTTGTGACAGGGCGCTCGCCCTGCACTGGCCCTTTAAGGGCAGACCCCGGCCTGAACCAGGGCCGGGGAATTTAGCCCAGCTGAGGCTGTACTAGCCCATTAGGGCCCAGCTGGGCGCTATAATAGAGAATGGGCTGCTGCCGTGGGGGGAAGCAGTGAGAACCTGGCTGCTGAGGGAGGAGGAGGCCCTGGAGCTAGGGCCGGGCTGGGGGGAGGCCAGGCAGGGCTAGGGGAGCTCTGGCCAGTAAATCCCCAGACTGCAGGGCTTGAAAGAAGGCCCGCTGGAGGAACATCAACCCCCGGAAGGGGGGCTCAGAGACAGACTTGGGCACTGTCGGAGGGCAGTGTGGCGAAGAGGACGCCGCAACCGGGAGTAAAGAGGGGAGACACCACCCCAGAGAAGGCACCCTACCTGCCAAGGGAGCCAATTCCGGAAGACAGACGGCAGAGGGATACGGTGGTGAGTGCGAACCCCCTCACACAGCTGTTTGGTAGCACCTCTGGCCAGCTAAACAGCGGCACCAACAAACAGCTGTGATTTAGGGTTGCTGAGCACCCACTATTTTCTTTCAATGGATGCTCCAGCCCCAGAACATCCATGGAATGAGTGGCTATCCATTCAAGTACTTAAAGACTGTAATCAAGTTACAACTTAAATGTCTCTTTGTTAAGCTAAATATATTGAACTCCTGGAGTCTCTGACTGTCACGGGTGCTGTGTCTACACTGGCCACTTATTCCGGAAAATCAGCCACTTTTCCGGAATAACTTGCCAGCTGTCTACACTGGCCCCTTGAATTTCCGGAAAAGCACTGACGATCTACTGTAAAATCATCAGTGCTTTTCTGGAAAAACTATGCTGCTCCCGTTCGGGCAAAAGTCCTTTTCCAGAAAACTGTTCCGGAAAAGGGCCAGTGTAGATGGCACAGATTTCTTTTCCGCAAAAAAGCCCCGATCGCGAAAATGACGATCTGGGCTTTTTTGCGGAAAAGCGCGTCTACATTGGCACGGACGCTTTTCTGGAAAAGCATCCTGCCAATGTAGACGTGCTTTTTATGGAAATACTTATAACAGAAAACTGTTCCATTTTAAGCATTTCCGGAAAATCATGCCAGTGTAGACGTAGCCCTGGTGTATAAACCCCACCCTGGGGAACCAAGTGCTAAAGAGCAGTGCTGAGCTCAGAAGTCCCCACCCAGCCACACCTGCCAGGCATGCTCAAAATGGAGGCAGAGCTCAGTCCAAGTGGATAGAGTAAAGGAGCATTCCTATGCTGGTCGCTCATGCAGAGTGGTCGCAGGAGCTCCATGCTGCCAAAACCAGGCCCTGCTGCTGAAGGCTCCATGGAGACCCAGAACAGCCAGCTGCCATTGAAGAAGAGCCTTTGGATCACTGTCAGGGAAAACCCCTCCATCCTAGGAGTCCATAAACAGGCCCCATGGTGACTTTGAAAGGACAGAGGCTGAGATAGGAAGTGATGCCTGGAGCAAACTTGGTGGCATCCACCCTCCAGGCTATAAAGCTGACTTGCCAGTCAGAGGGCCCAGTGGAGCAGGGAAGGCCTGGGATCCCCTACCACTAACTCCACAAATTCCCACCACTGGATAATACTACTGGTCTTGAGGCAACCCACTTCCCTCTCCCTCAACATACTATAAAACCTGTTCTCATGGATCTTCTCTGAAGCTTCTCCAGTTTATCATGATCCTTTCAGAACTGGACACCTTATTCCTGTATTGCACCAGTGACAAATGAAGAGGTAAAAAACCTATCTACTGCTACTTGAGATTCCCCTTATAATGTTTCCAAAAGCTTCATTAGTCTTTTTGGCCACTGCTTCACACCAGGAGCTCATGTTTAACCAGTAATTCACCATCACCTCCAAATCCTTTTCAAAGTCACCACTTCCCAGGATAAAGTCACCCATTCTGTAAGTATGGCCTACAATTTTTGTATCTAATACAGTGGGAGGACACTGGCCCCCTAGTTTTTCTATCTGTGTTTTAAACATGAGACGGCTTTGATAATGACTACATCAAAAACGACACTGCTATGAGAAAGACAATGTTATTTCTTTGTACTGACAGATATAGCAATTTTTTCTACACGTTGGGATCTCATTCAAGCATAAAGGTATGAGTTAGCATCAGTATTTAACCTTAATTGAGAACAAAGCAGACAGCATTTGACTGTATGTATTGCCTCTTTTATAATGTAGAACCTTGTAACAATTTAAAGCTATAAGATCTATTTCACTGTGGAACAATTCCTTGGAGGTGTGTTGGAAGACACATTGTTCGAGTGACTCAAAAGTGGTCCAAAAGATTGGGTGAATACCCTGCAGTGACAATGTTGCACGATCAAGAGAAATGTATAGATCAGGGCTACTCAACTTTGGAAGCCCCAGGGACCACAATGATACTCACAGCACATGCCAAGGGCTGCAACTTAAGTGTGGTTACATTTACATGCAAATATATATGTAAATACCTTCTTTCACACTGACAGGCATGAATACAAAGATTAAGGCAAGATTACAAACACACAGGCCCATTTAAGTCGGTTCTGCTGACATTAATAAAATGCAATATTTACCCGATTTCTACCCAAATGACAGGGCTTTCAATGACAATCCAGGAATTTAACTACTAAAACGCATAAAAACAGAAGATCACTATATTGACGACTTTTTTGTTTTAGCTCCCACCTGCGGGCTGCATGTTGAGCCCCACGTAAACCCAAACCGCACTGTGGGCCACAAGCGAACAGGCCGCAGGCCGCAAATGTCTACAGGCTGCATGGTGAGTAGCCCTGGTATAGATGATCAAAAAGGATTTTCCACATGTTATTTCAGTGATATAAGTGCACCTGCTAATACTATTCAAGTACCCAAAAATGGGGAAAACATCTCATTGAAATATAGAAAGAATAAAAAAAAATAGACAAAGAGTTAATGGAAACTATGCATGCATCCTCAGGAGAGAATCCATCCCTCAAAGAAGAGATCCCCTTCTTACCTACTCTATACACAGTGCAAACTTCTGTGTTTGACATTTCCTTCAATACACGCATCACGTCCTCTTCCACAATGTTTCTTTCTTTTGCAAAAAAAGATTTCTCTTCCTCATCAAGAAAATTCAGATTTTGTTGTCTAGAAAAGAGAGCAGTAAATCTGAATAGCAGCTATCACCACATTTCTTCTGTCTTATTCATTTGCATTATTAATATACTTGGCTTCTGTAGCACATGTATACAACATGCATCATGTCCACCTTTATTAGCTTGCCTTGATAGAGGATATCAGCTTACTACTGCTACCAGCTCCTTATTTCAAGTATCAATGGTCTGAGCTGCAGAGTTGAGGGTCTCAGGTTTTAAACCCTGCTAACAAACCATGCTTGGTTTTATTATCACTTGTGCTTGTTACTGATGAAAATCTGTATTATCATAGAACTCATTGTTAGTGAACAAGATTGATAACAGTAACTGTTCATGCAAATTCATATTAATGATGCCAATTGTGCGTACTGGTAATCCCTTTTCAAGCACATCAAAGGAAGTTTTATCAATATTCCTGTATCATGGAAGCATTCTGGTAAGATTGCATGCATCATGGTATTGCTTTTCCAGTAATCTTTAGGACAAAACTTTTCAAATGGGCCTCAAAAGTCACACCTGCAAGTTTTATAAGCATACTGTTTCCATGTGTACACCCTTCACATGTTTGAATCAATGAGCTCCTCTCAGTTCAAGTCAAGATGATGCAGCCTGCTCTGTCCACAGATTGCACCTCACAATGGGAGGTCTTCAGTGTATCCTGGGGAAGTCAAGAGATACCCTCAAGCCACTGGCAGGTTAATAGTATGATTCTTGGCTGAGGCTTGGGTGCCTCTATCTTTTGATGCGAATTGCTCAACAACTCTACCTCTAAAGGTATTGATGACTACACCATTAAATTATTCTATATGGCAAGTTAATAATGCAGCAACAAAAGCATTTAGTCATGTAACAGAGCTGTGCTAAGACTTTCAATGTGGAATTTGCCCTTTATGCAGTTCACTGTTTTAAAGTTTGCAGAGCTCTGGTAAAACTGTCTTGGTTCATGTAAAAGGGGGGTGGGATAGCTCAGTGGTTTGAGGGAGAGGGAGGTGGATTGCGTCAAATCCATTAAAATGATCCAGTGGTGGGAATTTGTGGACTTAGTTTTACATGAACTCCCTCAACATACTATAAAACATGTTCTCACAGATCTTTTGCTCAGTGGTTTGAGCATTGGCTGGCTAAACCCAGGATTGAGAGTTGAATCCTTGAGGGGACCATTTAGGGATCTGGGAAAAATCTGTCAGGAATGGTACTTGGTCCTGCCTGGGGGCAGGGGACTGGACTCGATGACCTCTCAAGGTCCCTTCCAGTTCTATGAGATAGGCATATCTCCATATATTATATTATTATTAACATGAATCACTGGAGGTCACTGAGTATGGAAACCACTGAAATATGACAAACTCTCTCCATAGAGCATTAATAGTTTTACAAACAAAAGGTTTAATGTAAAGGTATATTAATGAAAAAAATTGACTGTGCTCCTTTAAATTTGTTGGTTAAAATATTATATGCATACTACTTACTCAGTTCGAGAAGTGTCAGGTTTAACGTGGCTGGTCTTTACAAAACCAATTTGCCCAGTAAACATATGCCTTCCAATAAACCATTCCATGCATTCTATGAAGTAGCCAATGATCTCAATTTTGTCTCCACTCTGGAAGCTAATCTCTTCAGGCACAGCACTTTCATAGCTAAGCACGGCTTGAGACAACCCCGTAGCTGCATAATAAGATTTTAGAGATGCATGACTTTGATAATATGACTACATAAGCATTTAACTGCATGTTGACTCAGCATAATGAGGCCAAAAAAATCCATGCATTGTTGAGAATTACCCTCATAGGGTATGTCTACACAGCAGCATTATTTTGAAATAACTAGTGTTATTTGAAATAACTTAGTCCGCGTCTACACAGCAGGCAGTTATTTTGAGATAATATCAAAATACTGTCAAGCTAAGGAGTTTTTACTCAAACTCCTGTAACCCTCATTGTGTGAGGAGTAAGGTAAGTCGGAGAGAGAGTGCTCTATTTTGAAATAAGTGCTGTGTAGACACTCCCAATTTCAAAATAAGCTATTTTGAAATAAGCTACACAATTGACGTAGCTTAATTTGCATAGTTTATTTCAAGTTAAGCCCTTCTTTGTAGACACACACATAGTGAGGAGGGATAGATTAGTTTTTGATGCTTTAAAGCAAGCAATTGTTTTTTAAAACATTTCAGAATTATAGAAAAGCATAAATCCCATCTCATAGTTCTTCAGCTCTTCTAAAAATAGTATTTTAAATGCATTCAGAATTCCTGCTTTAAAGGTGAACATAAAGGTAATTCACCTCCTCTTGTAACAGACTAGAAAAGAAGAGATGAATTGATTTTGCCATACCCATGTGTAACACTGATAGAAAGAAAACATGCAGAGAGAGGTACATTAATCCTGTGGAAGCAGAGGCTGGTATGGTCTAAATAAGAGTAAGGGTGGGACTGCAATTTCAATCTAGATATCCCCAACATAGCCAATTCCCAATGTTAGATAAATGCTTCTAACATCGTAAGTGTGTAGAATTTAGAATTAAATGCAGATGGCAGGGTTTTGGATTGCTGTTTTCTTAGGGAAAATTTGGTTAAAACTCCCCCATCATCTTCCTGCTTGGGCTGTAACAGTGATTAGTTCCCCTGTCCTGACCACTCAACATGTCTGAGGGGAGCTAACAGGCTCTGGTGATAACCAATAGAACAAAAAATTGAAAATTTCAATTAAAATAAAAAAGCTAGAAAGAGGTTTTAAAAATTCAGTCCCCTCTTTCCTCCATTTTTGACAAGCTTGTGAACTGACTGACTTTTTTTTAAGATTTCAAAAACAAAGGGTGAGTTGTCCATTTTTATAAAATTGAGTCTTTTCTGCTTTCTTCCAATCAATTCAGTAAATTACTAGTGCTCTTCTAATTTTCAGATATGACCTACAAGTAAAATCCCTCCAGTGTTGGTTTCTAGTTTCTTGCTAGAGCTATAGGTCTTTTCGTGACACTGATATTTTGTCTAAGGGCAGGAGGATAATTCTATAGTAAATAAATGGGAATCCATGCCTGGCACAGGCCCACCCCCGGGGCCAGGGGGAAGAGCAATGGGAACGGTTGACCGAGGGCCAGGCAATTCAAAGGGGCCCAGCTGCCACTGCTACTGTAGCAGCAGCAGCAGCAGCAGCCAGAGCCCCAGGCCCCTTTGAATAGCTACCAGAGCACCACTCAGCGTAGCTTTGAGGACTGATGAGAAGAGCACATATGCTGAAGTCCAGGCGGCACTGGCTACCCAAACCTGACCCTTCTTCTGGAGGCCCCACCCCTTTCAGGAGTATGGAGCCAGACCCCACACACTACGCACACCTTGCTCTAGGGCCTGTGGTGGCTGTCAGCCCCGCTGGCCTGGAGTACCTATTAAATAGATCTATGACTTTACATTAGTCTAGAACTATAATGATTGGGAGGAGCTAAAGAAGTGTAGCTAAACTATACTTAGAAAATAACTGATCATATGCTACCTGGGTTTCTGTGGCTGTTTTACACAAAAATGTGTGTGAGCCAATGTGTGTATATATGTGCACAGGTGTTCATTATTTGTAAGTGCTTGGATTTTCCAATCTTCCCGTTTACAAACTTTAAATGTCAGAGCTATGAAATAGTTTATGAATGCATTTCTTTTGACTAGATTATATTATATATGTGCCTTGAAGCATGAATAAATATTCATGAGAAAAACAATAAAATAAAATTGAAAAGTCAGGAAAATAGACTTTCAGAGTTCAGATACATGCGAGACATCATTGCTAGACATTAATTAGACACATGGCTATTGGCTGTAAAGCACTTCTGGGTGAAAGATATTCAGTAGATTTGCTATGTTTAAATACATTTGTAAACAGAGATTTATGCCTATATTAAAGCATATGGCAATTTTCCTATTCTAGTATAGCCAAATGAGAAGATACATACCAACATTCCAAAATCCTGTAAAACCTAGCTCTTGGAATTTATATATGCTATTTAAATATCTAAAAAAGCAGATGCAAAAATTTAGATGCAGTTTCTTACCTATTTGCATGCTGCTGCATTTAGATTTCATTTCGCTACCAAATTTAACGGGATCAGAGTATATTTTAAGAAACCATCTAGAGAAAGGAAAAAAGGACACTGAAATAAGTATCTGAAACACTTCCCTTCAAGGTTTTCATACTATCAGGAATATTCTAAACTAATATTTCTTCAAACTTTTATTCATTTCAGTGCTTCTGCTTATGCATTTTACATAAGGATAAAAGCTTATGAGGTTTTTTTAAACTATTTTTCCTAATTTAAAAAAAATATTTGATGTGAATTGCTCAAAAACTCTACCTCTAAAGGTATTGATGACTACATCATTAAATTATTCTATATGGCAAGTTAATAATGCAGCAACAAAAGCATTTAGTCATATAACAGAGCTGTGCTAAGGCTTTCAATGTGGAATTTGCCCTTTATGCAATTCCCTGTTTTAAAGTCTGCAGAGCTCTGGTAAAACGGTCATGGTTCATGTAAAACTCTTTAGTTCTTTGGGGCAGGAGCTGTTGTTTTGTTCTGTTTTGAACAGAGCCTAGAACAGTGAGATCCCAGTCCATGACTAGGTGCTACCACAATACAAATTAGCAATAGTAATAATAAGCAGCCCTTTTATGTAAAAGGGAAAGATAGCCTCAATTAAATACCTCTTACTATTGAATATCAGCTTGAATGGTTATGTGAATGAAGGCAAATGATATTTGTCTTACTTTGCTGATTGGTTGTGCTAACCCATTTGCTCAGTAGGGTCAGCAGAAGCCATTTTGATTTGCCCTTTTTTTTTTTTCTAAAAAAAGCAGCTGTACTTTCCACTAGTCATACATACAAAACACAGGATTGGTGTTTTTTTTCTATGGGTCAGACATATTTCCTGGGATATCTTAGTAACCACTTGCATGAACTTATGGGCCCTGTTTCAGCCTCAGGCAGGCCAGCAGCACCAACAGAGTGGCTGTCTGCTGATCAGTGCTTAATTTGAAATGAAAGAGGTGCCAAGGCTCAAGCAATTAGGAGTCAGGGCTTGAGCAACTTTTTATATTTATAACTAATGCAGCAAGCCCAAGGGTGTCAGGGCTATACATTGCCAAACCTAGAGGTGCTGGGGCTCAGATTTGGCACAGATTAAGTACTGCTGCTGATCCCCACTCACCTATATGTAAGGATTAGTGACCCTAGCTTGAACCCCAAAGAGACTGCAGAAATAAGCTTGACTGCTACCTGCCAAAGAAGCTGGTGTGATACAAAAGGCCAGCAATCCTTCCCCACTAAGCTGATGTATGTGGATTTTTTTCCCATGTTGTGGCATTTTGGAAGTGAAAAATACTTATCACTTTAGCATCACTCTAGAGCTTTTCAGATCTCCTTTTCATTGTCAATGCATCAAAGCCTCTAAGCGGATAGCAACCAGAGTCAGGAGAAAGGGCTGTTGGTTTAATATTTAATACAAAAGATAGCAACGCATCATCCGTTGGTGTAGAACTTAAGAGGAAAATGAGTGAGAGATCTGTGGACTTCCTGAATAAAGAAAGAGGGAGACCTCCAAAGCCAGCTACCAAGCACTTTCAGTTTAAAATCATTTATATATAAATACACATATTCTTATACAGATGAAGCAGAAAACTGGAGTCAGGTACCTACTGATGAAAAGGAATCAAAGGCTCCACAGCAGCTTTAGATAATAAGGTGAGGTCATCACCCAGTGATCCACCAGAAATACCTTCACTAACTCTTCTGTTCTCTTGATAAACTTTCAGTTCTGTGCCTGCAGCTGTTGTCTCTCTTATGTGGTTATCAGGACTCAAGACAAAGAAAGTTCCTTAGAAAGAAAGAAAGAAAGAAAGAAATATTTCGTATTCTATAAAGATTGAAGTGTGTTAATCTCACATGTGGCTTTTGACATAATACGAATTAAAATGATTTATTCTAGATACTTAGTTGATTTTATTACAATTTTAACAGATATTTTAAATTCTAAATGTTTAGCAGCCAGAGTGAATTTAATATAAATTGAAATAAAATTTAAAAGTGCAAAATGAGGAGAGGAGGAATGAACTGTAGAATTCTTGTATATTATAACATTAGAAGGTACCAAGGGAGGTATGACACACTTGATGATAGCGCACTTCACAGCCTGATTGCAGTCCTTGCTAACTCACTGGTGTCAGTGATAATACTCATGTGAATAGAGATTGCAGAATCTGGGTTACCATATATTATTATAGAACAGGAAGTTCTAAATCATACATTGGAATGTTAAATTGCTGGGCTTGTAGAAGAAAAAATGTTTTTTAAAATCTTCTGCAGCTATTTTATTCTATGTACTGCTAACACTTCTAAAAAGATTAAAGATTCGTCAAACTTTGTACGATGCAGATTGAACCTCTCTGGTCCAAGATTGTCTGGTCCAGCAACATCTGTGGTGCAGCAGGATAATGCATATTGCTGGACCAGAAAGCCCTAGAGGCAGAGGTTGATGACAGCAGGGAGTGGAGCTGGCCGGCAGAGCCGCAGGGCAGCAGAGTCTGGGAACCAGTGGGGCAGCAGAGCCCATGGGGCCACTGAGCTGATGAGGCAGCATAGTCTGCAGAGCAAGCAGCAGGGCCTCTGGAGCCTGTGGGGCTGCTAAGCCCACCAGAGTCCATGACGGGGCTGCTAGAGCCTGCAGCAGGGCGCCGTGACCACTGGAGCCCACAAGGCAGGCAAGGCAGGGCCCAGAGGCTGGGAAGAAATGCTCAACAGGGAGGTTGGTGTTTCCCATCTGGTAAACTCCCTTGTCTGGGATTGGTCAGGTCCCAAGGATGCCAGACCCAGGAAGGCCAACCTGTACTATGCTTTTTGTTCCAGCTCTGTTTCTATGTACCTGCTGGCACGTGTCTGATTCAAGCCCCATGAAATCAGTGGAAAGGCTTCCATTGACCTCACTAGAGACGGACTAAACCCCAACTTTTCTCTCTTATATGTTCAAAAACAATATCTTTAAGAGGCAATGGGGACTGCGCTTATTTTATATCGTTACCTTTTTACAAAGACAATCTTCCTTACCTTCCTGTATTAACAGACCTCTGTACATCAAATGTAGAGATTCTTCATTTATACAGACTTCAATTCCAGCTTGTTTATCCTCATTTTCTTCTTGGTAACAGAGCCAGAAAGACTGATCTAGCAACAAATTCTCCATGCAATGATTTATAAAGCCTAGAAAAAATTAAGGTATCTTTCATTAAATTAACACAGAGAATTCTCCAAAAGGCAATAAATAGCGCTTAGTAGTCAGGCAATCCAAATTTTTACTTAAAAATACATATCCAACTGCTATTGGATTGCAGTGTTGGCAAAATGCAAATACACAACTCTCACTGACCTCAAGGGGAATCTGGGACTCAAGGATGTACACAGAAGAGAAATGAATGGATCAATGGTGATTTACTCATCTAAGTATCTGGCCCAGTAGGAATAGCAGTGAATTTTAAGATGTTCATTTATTTTTACTGCCAACAAAAAAGCAATTACATTGATATACTTAAGGGATGCATTTAAGAAAAGGACATGCAGTCTAATTACTATGGGGGGAAAGATCAGAGAGTTCTAATCTAAGAATATCTTTCATAGCCAGCTGTTCAGTGCCTTATGATATGTGCTGTTCACAATGGTCTTAGCAGCCCACTAGCCAGCAATGCGTACTTCTCTTTCCTTTTTTCACCTTAATAGGCTTGACCAACAGAAGTCATACCAGCAATTGCCTACTTTTTCCTCACATCCTTCATCCCTCACATTCTAACCATGCAGAATTCAAGTCTCAAGAGCAAAGGCACTGATAATGGCATCATGAATAAAATGATCAAAAGTAGATGACTATAAATGAAGTTCTCTATCTGTAGGATTCTCTCACCACTTGCTTAGTCACAGACAGGCGAAGGCCCAGATTTTTAAGGGTCAAAATCTGAGATATTTAGAGAGCCTGATTCTAGAAATACTGAATACCTTTCAACTACATTTGTTGGTAGTCACCATCTCTTAAAAGTCTGGTTCTAAGTTATTGAAGTTGAGTTCCCAAAAAATGTAGGCAATGAAAACCCCCAAGGTGCTTTAAAAAATGTCCCTAATTTCCTATATAAAACTTTCCATTGTGTTGTCAGAGATCAATTTGATAGACACAAAGAGCAAATCATTTCTATATTCTCAATCTTGTATGACTTACATCTTAAAATTCTCATTAAATGCAAGAGGACATAAATATTATACCATTTTAAAGAGTTCATTGAATTGAAATCAAATTTAGAACATGCAAAGCATGTAAGGCCTGTATTGGAATATATGCTTTGAAGTTAGCTGAATAATTATGCATTCATGTGACCCAGAATATCATCACTAGAATCAAGCTGTGTGACAATGAGTTTTATTTTTCCTTTAGGATGTCGATGTTAATAGGATAGTTAATTCTCCCTGGGAAAGGCAATATTAGGAAAATGTAGGCTTGGTCCTAGGACATTAGAGAGGTGGGTTTAATTTCTAATTCTGCTACAGATTTCTTGGGTAAGTCATTTCATTTATCTGTGCCTTATCTGCAAAATGAGGGTAATGATACTTTCCTTCCTTAAAGGGTGTTGTGAAAACATAATACACTGTGAGATGCTCAAAGAGTATATGGTAAGGAGCAGAAGGCGCTGTATCTCAGAGATAGTATTGCTTTCAAGCAATCAAAATTATACCTTAAGAACCAATTATTTCCATCAAATCAAAAAGTTATGTCTGCAATAAAAAAACAACAAATATTCAACAGTTCTATGGACAAAATTGCTTTACCAAGGGAATAGTAGGTTAAAAACTTCCATATTTCTTCAAATGTTTTAAATGTTACCACTATTAGGTCTTGGTCACTGTGAATAGACAACAATCTGGCAGACAGCTCCTAACAAAGCAAGCATACATATTATTGTATTATAATCTTACTGATAACGAGAGATTCATTAAGCTGTATTTGTAATTAAATGCAAGTAAAAATGTTTCTATGAACTCACACAAAAATCAGAAAATTAGAAAGCTAAAGTTCTTCATAATGTCACTCACTCATCCACATTGCACATACAGAATAGACAGAAAAAATACAAACTCCATTACATCAATTGCAAAACTTCAATTGGCTTTTTGGGGGCCAGGATTTTACTCAATGCCTTTCGCTATTTGTTTGGCTCATAAACATTCAACCTAAATGTATTGTGTGGGCACATTTTTCATCTCATTTATACTCTAAGGCTACATTGGCAACTATAATTTAGTCAACTGAAAATCCATTACAATAAAATTCAGAATGAGAGTGTTTTAGTTTGCTGTTTTCTTGCAGAAAATGTAGCTAAGCTCCCTTTGGCTACAGAAATGAACAGCTATTCCAGTTTACACCAGTGCAACTGAAACCAGAATTTGATGATGTGTGTATACATTTAAAAGCTTTACTAACAGTAATATTAAACCAGTGCCATTTAAGGGAATTAATGTTTGTATGAAAGCCCACAATAAAAGGGTGATAGAGATGTAGCCGTGTTAGTCTGGTATAGCTGAAACAAAATACAGGACTATGTAGCACTTTAAAGACTAACAAGATGGTTTATTAGATGATGAGCTTTCGTGGGCCAGACCCACTTCCTCAGATCAAATAATGGAAGAAAATAGTCACAACCATATATACCAAAGGATTCACCTTCCTTCCCCTCCTCCCCCCCACATCCCCCTTCTGTTCTGTAATGTGATTTGTCCTTTTCATGTGTGTTCACTTTTTTTAAATTGTATCCTTTGGTATATATGGTTGTGACTATTTTCTTCCATTTTGTGGTATATTTTGTGGTATATATGGTTGTGACTATATATGGTTGTGACTATTTTCTTCCATTATTTGATGGCCCACGAAAGCTCATCATCTAATAAACCATCTTGTTAGTCTTTAAAGTGCTACATAGTCCTGTATTTTGTTTCACAATAAAAGGTGCACTTTGAATAAGACAAGGTATAAATGAGGCTGGACTGTCTTTCTCATAAACCCTGTTGGAGCAGAAAGTAATCCATGTCTGCAGTTATAAACCTAAGCGCTACACAGCACTGCAGGAGACTCCTAATTAAGCTAATTAAGATACAGCATTCCAGCAATTTCTAGCCAGAAGTCATATTATAGAGCCTAATTACCTTTCAGCTACAAGATGTTTTAAAACTATGGGCTAGATCTTCCGCTGAGGATGTGACTATCACTGTGACACACAAGAGCAAGTATTAAGATAAAATGTACTATATTGCTTCCTATGTATTGCATGTTCATCCTTAATGTTCTAGTAAAGCAGGATTGCAACAGAACATTTGTCAGAACAGAATACATCAGCTATTCTTCAAAGTAAAGTATGGTTTTGTCTGGTCTCAAGTTTGCAGCAAGTTTTATTAAAAAAATATGATTTTTAATGTTGAAATTAATTATGAGGGTACTTCAGGATGGACATTAAGAAAAAACTTCCCTTCAGAGTGCTTAAGCACTGGAACAAATTGCCTAGGAAGGCTGTGAAATCTCCATCAACAGAGATTTTTAAGAACACGTTAGACAAATACGTGTCAGGAATGGTCTAGTTATTACATAGTCCTCCCTGGAGTGTGGAGGACTGAACCAGATGATCTGTTGAGGTCCCTGCCAGTCCTACATTTTTATGACTCAAAGATTATTAATTCTGAAAAGCAATTGACACACAAAGGTATGTTTAACAAAAATAATGTGAGATAACATGTCACCAACTGTTCCTTAATGAGAAAGCATTGACCTCCTTTGAAAGACATTCTGAAGTCTTCTAAGGAAAAGTGCTATAGGAGTGATAGTTGTCATCAGTAGTATTTTGGAAATTATGTCATCAATTTACACACATTTTTATGTGCCCCCCCCTTTATATAACATAAATATGAATTACAAAAAAAAAATCCTCATGTCTCTTTAAAAAACTGAAGATCTATGATATACAGATCTATGACATATATCACGCTACACCTGATTAAATACAAGAGCAAAATCACAATCTTTTGCAATCAAAATCTATTAATAAATTGCCAAAGATTGAAATATCACTACCTCCAAGCATCCTTCATTACTCATTATGAAAACAAATTTGCCATTTTTATACGTAAACTTGGCATTATAAATCTAACAGTCATTATATATCTAACAGTCATTTTCCTGAATCTGTTCTTTAACACTAGCAATGCCTTAAAATCTAGCATCTGTGCACATTAGGGGTTTTTTTTTTTAACTCACAACCATGTATCAGAGCAGAATGGCAAGAAAACAGATTGTAAAGCCTGCAAAAAATAGACTGCTAATGAGATCTTGTACATGAAAGAGACAACATGAAGTAACTGATGCTATTAACTCAATGCTAAGTAATTAAGATGTTAGTAAAAACTTAAAAAACAACAAATAGTCTAGCAGCACCTTAAAGACTAACAAAACATGTAGATGGTATCATGAGCTTTTGTGGGCACAACCCACTTCGTTATCTGAAGAAGTGGGTTGTGCCCACGAAAGCTCATGATACCATCTAAATGTTTTGTTAGTCTTTAAGGTGCTACTAGACTATTTGTAATTTTTTAATTTTTTTCTGTTACAGATTAACTCAGCTATCCCTCTGAAATCTTTTAAGATGTTAGTGTTTGACTTGTTAGTGAGAGAGACAGGGAATTCATATTAAAATGGATAGTGTTGACATGAACCATGAAGTTAGTGAGAGAGACAGGGAATTCATATTAAAATGGATAGTGCTGACATGAACCATGAAGAAGACAAAGAAGATTGAATAGTTGCCATTTCACCATTCTATCAGCGTGAAATGATGGTGATTCAAATAATTTTCAAAACTGATGCGACTGAGCATGTAAGTTTGGACCCAAATCTACAGCATCCCAATGCTTGGAGCTATTGCTATCCAGGATTTGATGAGGAGCCCATATGTAATAGTTTCAGAAAAAATGGTTTCAAGTGGTCAGCACAAACGAAAGTCATTTAAGGGAAAATTATCAAAACTGCTTGGCAAAATGTGATTTTTTCCTTCCATTTTTTACAAAAACACAAACAGCTAAAACTATCTAGTTATACTTTCCATGCAAAGCATTTTGCAGTTTTACTTAGAGTGCCTTCTGTTTTGCTTTGTTCTCCAATATTTCTAATTTCATTGCTATGGTAATTATGTTATTGTTTTGATTTTTTCTTAAATCTAGAACATAATGTCTAACTCCTTGTTTTACAGACTTTTGCTGTACATTTAATATAACAATCACACTAATAAATAATGTATCCCGTTCTTTTCCATTTCAGTGTTCCAAACACTGCAGCCTCCAGTTGGGTTCATTACTTCTGTCACTTGTTATTTCAGTTAAGATAGGAAACAGTGCATCACAAGTCTAGTCTTGACATTCAGAAGATGCAATATGTGTATGAATTCTGTGATCATTTACAGTTTGTCCCAGTTTGTGTTTAATATTTTTCATCTGTTTCAGATTCTTCCATAATTGCTATTTTTATTAAGTCAAGTGACTAAACATGCAGGGTTGTTTTCTGTGCCCAGGTCAGAGCCAAAGATTTTACTTCTAAGCATTTTTCATTGAATATTTTTAGTACACACAATGTTGTGGTGTGGATGGCATTTCAAGACCCTGTCACATTTGTATAATTTGTACAATACTTGCATTTTGGAAGTTACATATGTTATTTAATTAAATGAGTAGGTCTGGAGCCTCTCACAATAGTTAGAATTTTCTTTCTTCCTTCCTTCCCTTTTGTCAGCTCGCTGATGGTATGTGTTCTAGGCACATTATTTTATACTTGCATTATGCTCATTAAAAGCATGTATTAGGAAACTCAAGATCTTTACCAGTTTTCTACTTCTATATCTTGAATTCCATTTGCTTTTTATTGTGATGTTAACCACTGTAGTTGGTTGAACTAGTATTTTATATGATATAATATTATCAAGGCACTGCCTTCGGTGCATTACTCTAATCAGGCCCATTAATGAAGTGAAGAAGCAAGATTTTTAAAAGTGGTTCTTATAACGTCACATTTTTCTCAAATGGAATTGCTGTGTATTTAGTTCTTTTTATATATCTGGCTGTTGGAAGTGTCTAAACAGGAGCGGAGACCTTTTGAAAGTCTAGCCATTGTTGTCTATGTGAATATTCATTCATCTTACTATATTTTTGTATATTTGTATATATCTGAATATTTGGGGAACCTGCATGTCATGTTTTCTTTCTTATTTTACTTCATCAGATAGATGTTGTAAAAGTGTGATCTGCCCAATCCTTGAGTATTAAAAGAAAATTTCTTATATAAATATGTCCAGAATTGTCCCAGAGTTTCCCTGTCTTCATTATTACACCTTACGTTACTAAGTACATAACAGCTTCATGCTATATAACTAATAAGCAAAATTTACCTGGCTTCCTAGTACTGGTATAAAGCCCTGCACATCATATAAGCCCTGTCCAGGTATCAGGCCATGGTGCCTTTACAAACCATATATGTAAAAGGGACAGTTTCCTCATTGGTCCTGCAAAGGCCATTACAAAAGGCCCTCTTGTAAGATCCTGTGGACCCTTGAAGGGTGAGGAGGGATGCATGTTGCTCCTATCTTCACATTTCCAACTCGGGTGCACCCACTTTTGCTCCAGTGGGCCAGATGAGGAAAAGGAAAAATCGGTCGCTTAATTTACATTACATGGAGTAGACTGAAACCACTGTCATCTCCTGTAT